ATTTATTCATTCTACTAAATTTAATAAAAGCGTAAAGAATAAAAATTTATATTTTTAAACTATTGGTTATATAAGGTTAAAGAAAATTTATTTTTAAGCATAAATAACAAATTCTTCATTTTTGCGCTGCTGGTCTTCCGTATTTCTTTAGGTTTTATTTTTACTTTTTCACGCGTTTTTTTTCGGACAGAGGTATTTCTATTTTGTCCTTTGACCTCTCCGACTACTGTGTGTAAATAAAACGTTATTTTCATTCTGTTTTAAGTAAAAAGATAAGCATTACTTTCAGAAAATCCAATTAATTATTATAAAATTTACTAATAGACTTCCAAACACATGAGCTCTTCGCAGTGGTACCTATACTGTATGAATTTAAGCGCAATACTAGACTGCTAGCTAGATGTAGCCGTAACTTCTATGCTGGCAGTTTCTTTTCTCGCATTTCTTGGTTGTGGGTCTCCCTTCCGGCTCCATGATTTCCAGTCAACTTTAATCTGCAAAAATTTAAATGCAATGTCAATCGCTACCTACTATCTTCCTGACTGCTCTTTTCTCCTTCTACTCATTACTAATGTTTCTGTTCCTAATTCCTCCACGCCCTGTAACCCCTTGTATGGTAGTGGCTGTACTGCCTTGCTTGGGGAGATACCGATTAAAGAAAGAAACACCGGCTCGCAGTTCTCAATTTGGAAAGAAAAAAAAAACAAGACTCGCCGTTTCCCCTTCATGGAATATGGACTCGCCTGGGACATAGCAAATGAACCTGGCCCATTTGAATCTGGAATCCTAAACATAGCTTCTCCAGAAATCACAGAAGTATCTCCATATTATATGTAAGACTCTTCTTTTTTTTTGTTTCTCCTTACTCTGTTTTGCTGTGTAGATATATGGGATATATTTTTTCTGCGCGGGACACGTGTATATATGTATATATAGTTTTGTGTATGTCTTAATAATCCAGAGTAGCCACTGAAATACTAAATGATATAAAACAAACATAACTTTTACAAACATGTTTTTTTTTAAATTTTTTATTAATTTATCTGGATGGAAACATTTTTGAATTCAGTTTCAGAATCTTCTGAAACAATGTTCTGGCGATCACTAGCGGAGCAGAGTGACGACGGGTAGAAGTTGATGGCCCCTCAAAGACACTCTGCCGTACAGCTTCCACCGATGCATCAGTGCCCACATTGCGCTTAGGACCTCTTCCCGGTAGATCGCCGACTGATCCAGTTTTTTCAAACCGGGCGGTTAGGTTCCGAATCACGTTATCGCTATGAGATACTCTGACATCAAAATGCTGTCGGTATTTTTTATGAGTCTGAATAATTGAACTTTCATTGAAACAGAGAAACTCAATGAGTCTTGCTCGTTGCGGAACATCATACGTAGCCATTTTAATCTTCAAGGGATGCTCTATTGTTGTGGAGTGATTTCACAGTGGAGGCTTGTATTTGTACTAAGTTAGTCCCAAAATAGGTTCGACGTACAAAACGTTAGGAACTTGATATAATAGGTAATGACGCAGAGCAATCTAGTTGTGGTCGCTGATATTTTAGTATCCGACTAACGGTCGTCCGGCATCGACTGACTGACCGACCCACTGAGCGACTCACTCGTTACTATTACTACTACTACTTATTATAGGTGGGAGAGTCTATTAACTATAGAATAGGTGTGTTCCACTATAACATCTATAACCTGCAAAAAAAGATTGAAAACGAACAAGTTGTGGCTTTTTTTTTGTTTTTTTTTAGTGGCCACGCTATATAATAGTTTCTCTGAGAGCGAAGCATGTTTGACATTCCGTTTTCCTTTCAGCCATTCTGTTCCGTCTGTGAACTACGGTCTTATTATATCATGGATATAATAATGCCCGTCATGGGGGAAATACACATGGGAGAATAAATCTTTCTTCTATAGGTCTTTCTCGTTACACAATCATTATTAACAGAAAATGGCTATTATACGTATAATGCTTATATACAGGGTGGGTGGAAAGAGACTCCCTGTTTAAAATTATTAATAAGTTTATTAATTATTGGTCGATTTTCATAAAGCATGTATTATTTTGAACAGTGTAATGGTAGAAATAGAATACAGTGTTAAAATTCTACATAGGCACCAGCATTGTCCACTCATGTTTTTAATTGTTTAAGTATACTCTCGATTGACTTCATTATTTCTTGTACCATTCGCATATTTTCTTCCAATCTGGGTGTTTAAGGACAACCTCTTCTGTGGGTATCTATCACAGATCACTTACACATCAGCTTCGAATGACAATTTCTGATATTTTTAGCATCAACTGAAGCGCGAGGTTCTGAAACACTGCGCCACAATCTCTGCACTTGTAACACAGACTGACACATTTGGTAACAGGATGCAACCTGAGCACGTTCATGCAGTGCCAGGCGTTGTGTCATTCTGGAATAAAACCAGAAATTAGCAATGAAATTCTACCACTTTAGGGATCACAATATATTTTGTTTCGTTCAAATGTGGTGAAATTAAAATAAAAAAAAAACAGAGTGATTTTCAATAGGGTGTTTCTTTTTACTCACCCTCTATATACATATATAATCCTTAAGATATTAGACCCCGTTACTATTGGAAGCATTAAGCATCTGGCCAAACTAAGTTACTCTTTGTAAATATCGTTAGAACCATCATTAACTGCACCTTATCCTTATCTGTTCGTTCGTGGATTCTATCAATGACAAAATGTTTAAACCACAGTTCATTTCCTGATAAGAAACTAAAACTGACGCATCTACCTGGAATTACTGAGAAGTTGTCACCTGTAATTTCGGTGTTTGACACCCACGCCTGTTTCATTTTATCTCTTTATGTCTGACACCCACGTAGGACAGGTGACGCCTTTTCGTGAACAATTTTTTTTTTTATAAACTGTTTATTTATTTATTTATCTTTTGTATAGTAAGTGTTTTGAAACAAGCACCTGCTGGTCGAGTCTAAATTGGGCGAAAAGGTGAGATTGAAATTTGTATTTCAAAAGTTAGAACGCAGGAAGATTGTTTTTTTTCAAAGTAAACTGCACGTTTTGGCGCCTTTTCTTTTGGGTGATTAAATGTAAATAACGCCTGCGAATTATTTACAAGCTTCACACATTTCTTTCTTTTACCTTCATATTATGGAATAAGGTAACATATAATACCCATAAAAATGATAGGATTATTTATGTGTAAATTAAAATGCACTTCTATCTAGGATCAGTAGAATATTTATGCATCTTGCCGAGGTTAGGATTTGTAAGTTAATTTTATCGTGCTATTCAAACGGTAGACTGCAGTTGTGGCAGGCACGACGCCACAAAATAAAAAGTCGATGGTTGGCTAAATCATATGTTAAGAGTGTGGCGGGTTACTAAGTCAGAGATTAAGTTTTAAAGATTATATATATATATATATATATATATATATATATATATATATATATATATATATATATATGTGTGTATATGTATGTATAATTTAATCTCTTATAAAATGACTTTTAAATCTATTATCCTATCGTAATTTTTAAAATTTTATTTTAAATATTCATTTTTTTTGTCGTTCGTTTGTACTTATTTTCTGGAATGAGAACTATAGACTTTTTTCGCTTATGATTTATATTGATGTTTTAGAAGCTAATGTTTTGAAAAAAGAAAAAATAGATGAAGTTCTCTGATTTATTTAAAAATTAATGGTAGTAATCATTTTAGAAGAATGATACACTTCAGTTCTTCAGCATTATCATAGATTTAAGAAAAGAAATATCTTATATTTAGTTTTCAGTTACAGCAAAAAATAAGGGGGTTGAGGCCCCCACTCCTTCCTATAACACTGTGGATATGATATTTATGATATTTTATCTCTAGGTCGGTCATTCAAATCGAATCAAGAGTTGCTTCTTATCTTTACATATTGTTTCCTTTTACCATGACAATTTACAGACTGGTGAACAAAGAAAGAAAATAAAGTAATTCCGCTCATAATTCTTGGTTCAAAAATGAAAAAATACTTGTATCCTATAATATGAAACACAATATTACGTGATACATTTATCGGTCATTTAGCCTGATCTACCCTCCTTAGTAATGAGATATTCCGTTGACAGGTGTTATTACATAATGTCACTAAGCGAAACCGCCTCTTGTTGCCATAATAACAGATGTCCACATTTTTGTTGGCATATTCACGGTGTTTCGGCCGTTATACGCCCCAGCCTTCTTCAAGTGATTGGCAACAAAGATGTGAACAAAAGTCTGGACAATGTAAATAGTGTAAATAAAAATGAATTAAAATTGTATTTTTATTTATTTTCTTTCATGTTATCATTTTTTGTTTGGGTATGTTTTTTTTTTTTGCAATGATTTAAAAAATATATCTGTCTTTAGCAGAATTCATTCTTACGTGCAACAAAAATGGCGGCGTAAATATATTTGTTCCCAATAATTAGTGATGTACTTTACTCTTTCACGGAGTCGGGCTTACCAGTACTGTTATAGCAAAGACATTGACCACCAGCGTTATCAATTCAAAGGAGATAACACATGTACAGCAAAAAGTTACTAAATGAAAACAATCTGAATCTTTTTATTATTGTCTAGGAACGAGTGATAGTAAGCCTTTTCACATCTCCAAGATTATTCCCATTGACTTCAACACTACTATAATCAGAATAAACTAACTTCTTCATCTGATTCCAATTTCTTCCAGTCTTCTTGATCGTTCGTTTTCTGCAGATCATCACCCTTCTGTAGTAAATTTAAAACCAGAAAATATTTTAAGATTTTTTTTTGAGATAATAATGATTTAGTGATATAGGTCCTACTAATTAACCCATAGCTGGGGGGAGAGGTAGATTCACACTTTTCCCAACGGCACATAAGTGCACGTAAGTGAATATAACGAATCCAACGCGTATTGGAATTCGGTTATCCGCTTAATAATTTTTAGCCATTATCCATTACGCTACCCGCACATCTAAACTTACAACACCTGGTATTCCTAAGCGGTCACCCATCTAGCTACTGACCAAACTTGACGTTGCTTAACTTCAGTGATCGTACGAGAATAGGTGTTTAAACATGATATGCTCTCAAGCAGTCTACTCTGAAGAAGAAAAGTGATTCAGGTACTTCAATGATTACTCATTCACAGCTCTCACTTCGCTAGGTATTGTTTCTGGGGTTTTTGTGGCAAGTAGCAAAACTTACCAGCAATACATTTTTGAAAAAAAAATATTACCAGCAAATACATTTTTGAAAAAAAATATTACCAGCAAATACATTTTTGAAAAAAAAATATTACCAGCAAATACATTTTTGAAAAAAAAAATTACCTGCAATACATTTTTGAAAAAAAATATTACCAGCAATAAAAATCTTGACGGCATGAAGTAACCCATTGAGGTTGATATGCCGTAAAACAAAACAAACCAAACCAAGTCATAACCAAAGAAATTACAAAAATTACTTAAATATTGCCATAATTTTTTTGACTTACATTAAACTAATTTTTTATTATTAATGTTAAATGTAAATGGGAGAATGTTATAAAACCATCAACTGCGATAATTGATCCACAGGTTATTCTGTTTTGTTTTACAAGTGTTCTCTACGCAGCCATATTTTATTCATATTTTCGTTTATTCATACAGAATAATCGCTGCAGTAATTTAACATATTTGTTTCTACCGTTCCTTGTTTATTGTCCTTTTTTGCGGTAGTTTCCAGCCATTATGATATTGTTTTCTCTGTACATAAAGCCTGCTAATAACATATGTATATATAATGCCATTCACAGTATCACTGCTCTTCAGTGGGGATAGACGTCCGGTTGCTTCAAGGCGGGATCGAAACCCGACCGATTTGTTATCAGTCGTCGCATGGCAGAAAGGAAGGGAAACTTTAACGTTTTTTATACGAAATACGTCAGTGGCCCGGAAAACTCAATTCAATTCGGTTGAAGAGCAATAAGTTAATAGCGGTATGAGCCACTGTTTTTAAAATTACCCTTTTCTCAAGAGATCACAAGCGGATTTTCCGGGAGCATATATATAAGATATACCTGAAGATTGTGTTAACGAATGAAACAGACTGTAACCGATTAGTGTTGACTTCAGTGTCCACTTTTATATTTATATACGCTCTGTCTCTGATATTGAGCACTTTTGCTCATAAATATAGCATACCTTAAAATTATACTTTTATCATATATGTATATGTGTGTGTGTGTGTGTGTGTGTGTGTGTGGGTGTGGGTGTTGTGTGTGTTGTGTGTGTGTGTTGTGTGTGTGTGTGTGTGTGCGTATGAAATAGATAACTTGACACTTTGTTAATACCCGAATTTTAATCTGAGAATATCACTGTTCAATGCCCAGTTTATGTGGTTAATATTCACCTGTGAATTAAGTGCATTGACAAGGAAAATGATTATGCTGAAAGATAAATATTTGTTACTTTAGTAAGTGCATTTTATTTGTTTTGTTTTGTTATAAAGTGCATGTAAGTATGTGTGTTTGTGTGTGCATGTGTGCGTGTGTGTGTACGCTTACACGCAGACATGCGCATAAGCATGTTCATCTGAATAATTTTGCTGTCGAGAAAGTTAAATGATTTTAATGCTTAGACATATGTATTATATTCGCGAACGTTAATGACCTTGGCTAAAATATCTTAATCTGCCACGCTTTAACAAAGTTAATGAATAAGGCGTCTGATAAGATCTGAGATTAATATTTGTCGATATTTTCCACGTTATTGCTTTATTTCTTCTTTGAATCCTAGCAGTTTTGCGTAAGATTTAAAACCTCGATACAACTTTATACACATCTGGCGTTTCTATTATCTTTCTCTCTGGTACGCAGCCAACATGAAGCCATTTTTGCTTAAAAAAAAAAAAGAAAGAAAGAAAAAAGAAAGATGGCGACCTTTGATTGGTATTCATTTTGTCATGTTATCAAATAAGTGACGTTACACCCAGTGACAGACATAAACGAAATGTACTGATCTTACCTTAAAAAGGTAAAATACTGGTGTTGTCGTGGATTCATAATGTCTGAAGGATATGTATATAAGTTGTAAAGAGTAAATATTAAATCTTTAAATCGGTGCCTCAAATGCAATTGTTAACAGGGTCACCCAGTAACACTGTAGTTAGTACAATCCTTATTAAATGCTCCACTCTCGTGACCCTGTGCCAGATTAAGCCAATGTTAGTAAATGTTGATATACGTACTTTTATATTGCATTATCTATCCATCTATCTCGCCATATATATATATATATATATATATATATATATATATATATATATATATATATATATATATATATATATATATATATATATATGTAGAAGCATTTAGGTGGGAGGCCGCTTGGAAACACCTGGTACTGTAAGAAACGCTCATTCACCGAGAAAGATTGTGCACTTCGACGTAGAGTAATGGTTAGCAAACTTTTGTCTCTAGATCAATTACAACTGAATAGGAAGTTCGATCCTCACTGGGTGCCCTATACTTTCGGCCTTGTGCCACGACTGAGCTACGTTTAGTAAATCGCTATATTGCTTCAAACGTTATTGTAGTGGACACTTCTTATTTGAAATAGATGACCCATTTTTATTTATTAAACAGTGGGCATTGCTTCTATCGGCCTACGCATTCGAGAAATTGAAGTAAAGAAAAGGTGTCTTCCGGTAGAGATCGAACCTGCGCCTCACCTTTGCAAAGGGGGGGATATCGTTTGATCCGGCATCCTTTACCAAGGGATTTCACAGTAAGCAAAGCTCTTTTTACCCTATTTAAGGAAAGCACATTTCACTATTCATTTATTTTAATGTCAGGTTAAAAATAAGACCGTTAATTCTCTCTCTCTCTCTCTCGATAATATTCGAGAGAGAGAGAGAGAGAGAGAGAGAGAGAGAAAAGAGAGAAACAAATAAAATTGAATATTCATTTATATTTTCCTTTCTTCGGTTTCTGAATATTTTTTCATAAGTGGGTAGCAAAATAAAATGCTGGTTATTGTTATCTATTCAAGCAGATAAGCCCGCATCGAGAATTTCATTTTGATGTACTAGATGCTTTTAGTTAATTATGTTATATAGGAATAAAGTGTCGCTGCCGACACTGTAGTTTGAACATAGATCGACAGTGAGCAAAAACAGGCGATCACATTATTAAATTAAGTAGATCACGTGACCATAAAGGAAACGCATATATGGGAATTAGCGTGGTGTCTAATTGATCGTCATTTCTAGTCTATCCTCTATTACTATACGGATCGCTATTCTCTATACTATTCACAATACTATTTCTCTATACTGATCACTATACGGATTACTCTTCGGATCACTATACGGTGGTTACTATTCGAGCGAATATTATCAATCAAATTACTATTATTCAAAGGCGTCTGACACCAGTATTGTTCAATGGCGTTACTATAGTTGTATCTGCGATTACAAAGCCTCTACTACAACGAGCAATACGAAAGTGACAATGAATATTCGTTGACATTACAAAAGTGGCAACGAGTGTTCGTTGACATAACAAAAAAATTACTAAAAGATATAAGTTACTTTGGCAAAGGTCAAACTGTCATGTCCAAGAGACACGGTCAGATTATTCCCAAAAGGATATATCAGTGAACAGAGGAGGGAAAATCTACAACTACCGTCATATATATACGAGAAGTGAATAATGGCTTTCTGCCAAGTACGAGCCAACAAAAGGGCTGTTGAGGCATAAATTGTAGATAGCTTTAATCCAAGTGATAAAAGGAATGCATTACATCACATAGTATACACATTATTGTGGGGTATGGGGAGGCGTACCCATGCTAGTCAATGTCTATCAAACGTCTTCAGTGGGAATGGTCGCATGTTTGGATGAATCTCACTTTCTCTTAAATAATGTTGGCGACAAGTACGGTTAGAATATTTGCGTTCAGACCATGAGACTTGGGTTCGAATCTTACCATGTTCAATTCGTTATTATCTTCTTGAAAATATCGCCCTAGTGTGACGATCGTAGCGTGCAGCAGAACTAGGAAAACTACACCATGGGTTCACATAAGCCTTGTGGGTTCTTTGGAAGCCATCGATGCTTGTGTTAACAAGTCATCGTGACCGAGAGTTTGAGAGTACTGGCCTTGTTCAAAAATGGTTGATCAGGTCAGATTATGCACTATCTCCCAGAAATTACAACTCAGGCCCGGTCAACATAGTTGCAGTATAAACCATAGATCGGTTCTGTGAGTTCTGAAGAAGCATAAATGTTAATGAGCAGGCGTTTACAACAGGGATTACTGAGCAGACGGCTATACTGGGAAACTAGCAGACAGCCATCATCATTTATTATTATAGAAAGGAAAGAGAGAGAGGAGGGAGAGAGAGAGATTGGGAGAAAGAACATTTTCGAGAGAATTAGATTCAAAGCCATAAAGAGAGAGATATAAATTGATGGCGAGAAAATAAGAGAGAAAGTGGGAGAAAATATATGTATGCTCTTCTATTACCAGACATCGATCGAGAGATCAATAGATAATCAGTACACTGCTTGGAGAATATATCGATAAAATGCCTGACAGTATTTATGAAAATTGAACTGACAGAACAATTTCAAATTCTTTTGGCAAAGGCGTGAACTCGAATTTCCCTAAGCTCATTCGCAATATAGGTTATGATAATGCCTCCGGTTATTTGTATGATACCATTTGACTGAGTTTGGTTGAGAGTAAGGCTGAGCCATAATTGAGATTCAAGCAGAAACTCCAATCCCTATAGAGGATTAATGTTATTCATAGTATGCACATCCCGATTTAAGATATTTCATATGTTTAGCTTGGGAATGTCGCAGATAAGTTTCATGAAAAATGAACAGAAAGAAATTAGGAATAATGAAAGACTTGTTTAAGGTTTAAGCAGCAGCTGCTTCCACTTTCTTACCATCCTAACTCATTCTTGCATCTCCCATCAGTCTTCCGTCCGAGACGCCATATTGAAATTATTGATTCATTCAATACTATAGTTATGATTTTCATAAATTGATAAGCATATATTGGATTATATCGATTTCTTGCACATGTGAGAG